CTATATCCTTTTAAATACTGCATTTATTATTGCAAGATTATTTGGTATCTATACATATTCTGCAATGTTAGAAGCATTATATTTCAGAAAAAGGAACCAACAAGCTTACTTTATAAATGTTGGTTGAAAAGCACTAAACATGAATGAAATTAAAATTGCCCTATGCAAATTAGGTGATGGGAAAACTTATTTATTATTTATTTACTTCATTTCTACCCCGCCTTTCTCTACCCTAGAGGGGATTCAAGGCGGCTTATAAATCTGGTAGAATTCAATGCCACATAGGTAAACAAACACTTCTCATCAAAAGATAAGCAATCTAAACATATAACCCATTAAAACACATATCAATCAATTAAACATATTAAAACCATATAAAAATGCCCTATTTTCAATGTCCAAAGCCACTTTTGACCTAAAACTACATTATGTCCAACAAAATTCGATTGTTTGGTTATGCTAGACATTACTACTACCATTTTCAAAGGAACTGCCTACTTCAACAAAATGTTGGCAAAATAACCCAGATAATGCTTCCTCGTAGCACATGATTTGGGCTAGTTCAGTGGTTATGTGGATTAACTAGGGAGATGATCACACATGTTTTTAAGCCATGTTGGAGGCTCCCTAGACATGAATAAAAACACCATGGCATGGGACCAACCTAATTTAGTCCCAAATCAAGCTACATGTCATGTCAACGTTGTATTGAACAAAAACAGTTCTCTGCTATCTTTTGGCTTCTGAACACACTTTCAAACGTTTTCCTCCAACAGTGTAATTGTGTACTTCTCAAAGCTAACAAGTGCTTAGAGATACATTTGAATTCAGGAAGAATAAGACTTGGTCCACAGAGAAACTGTGGCTGCCTCATCCAATTTTGATAAACAGAAGTGCTGTCTTTCCTGCAACCTTGCTTCTGTGTAAGTTCAAGATGATGTGAATTAATTCCCTTGAGCCATCACACTGAGACATAACAGAGCCAAGACAGCATCAGATCAAGAAGTGTCAGACAACACTTGGCTTAGAAGGTTCAAAGACATAAGAAATGCACAAATAATAACAATACATGGAAATAAATTTTTTTTAAAAAAAATCTTATTACATTAGTTTAACTGATGCGATAGGAAAAGGTTACAGTTAAAGGGGAAAATATTATCAGCAGAAAGAAAAGAGGAGCTATCATCCTAATCAATGAGGCCATGCCATTCATGGTGTGTCTGCATAAAACCAGAGTATAAGTTGTCACCCTTGTCGCACTCCAATGATTATCAGGCAATGAACTAAAAAAGATGTATATTTCATCTCCACAGGACTGTCTACAAAACCTTGATTCTTTGATGTAACAAATGAAACCTGCCTGGTATTTCACGAGCACAAAATGACACTGTAGATATCTGACAACATCTCTGTTTGCAGGAGCGGGTAACTAGCTCTAGATGAAGTGCAGACAGCTTATTAAACAATGCACAGCATGAATCCCAAGGCCAATACAGATGATCTTTAAAACATTCCTACTGCCCAAGACAAATATGCTTTCAACTTCTTTTGTGTTTTAAAATAGAAATATGTGAATGTGTTAAAAAAATAAGTAGGATGTTTAGACTGTATCTTTTTAATAAACATAAAGGCAAACTCAAGCAAATAAATTAGTATAATTCCAAAAACATTCTTCTGTTATATTTTCTTTTTCTTCTTCACTGTCTTGGATAAGTCATCATGTAAATGGTATAACAAATTCAAAATTGAAATTAATGTAGTTTAATGAGCTTTTACTATAACACACACACATATATTCATGTATTCGATTTAAATATAATATGTTTTATTTCACTTTGGCATTATACCTCAAATCTTCTATGCTTCAACAGAAGAAAAAAATTCAGAATTTATTTTTGGAGTACATGCATAAATGTAGATTTTGGTTGCACAAGTCAGACCATTAATACCCATAAAATTAACTAATGCTTGACTTATATGTTTATGTAGCAGTAATGTTGTTACTGCAGTGCACATACAAGGATTTGTGTGGAAATATTTTCATACCTTCTGTACCATCATGCAAACAAATCTCTTGTTAATCTAATTTTCTCTAGAAAATTGTGAAATTTGTAATAAAATATATCAGAAGATCTGAAATGGAATTTGTGGTTCACTCATCTTTGTTCATGAACAAAGTAGCTCTAGATCCAAAGTAATATCAATCTAATAGTAGACAGTTTAGCTACTCCAGTCTCTTTACTGATTTAACACTGCAGTAACTCTGGTTCAGTGAAAAACTCTGATTCTGTCTTTCACAGTGCTTTGACCAATATGAGCCCATCTACAAACAGTTGCAAAAGAGCATGCAAGCCAAAAGAATTCCTTTTGTTTTAGTGCTACTGTCTAGATAATTGCAGATGGTTGAAAATGTGTTAGAAAAAATTTACAAAGCCCAGTCTGATCTACAGAGATCTGTGGATTTCATCCTAACATTATATTGTTTTGCTGTATTATCAAACAGTTAAAAATTCCCCTAGAGCAAAAAAGAAAGAATATAAGCCATGCTCACAAGGACAGTTAGAGACAATATCCTTGAAGAGGATTAAGGAATCATACTGATAAGGTTATAGTTCAGCAGATCCATTTGCCATACTATGTCAGAGAGGATAATGCGATCATAGGATGCATTAAGAGGGAAATAATTTGTTATGTGCACACCAACAATTGTGTGTGAGAGACATCAGTAAGATCATTATTAGTATGCACCAAATTAAACTTTGAGTCCTGGAATATTATCCATATTTGACCAAAGGAACATTTTCTATGGCAAGTCAGGAACTCAACAATTATTAGAAGCAAGACCAAGAAAATTGCAATCATGTGAGTCACTTCATATTTTGACATATTAAATAGATGGAAATTGAGTTAGTAAGGAGCATTTCCTTTCCGTTGATTTTCAGTTTTCAATAATAAATAGTACTATAAAAATTGCAAAGCAAAGTTCCTCATATACTCTTATATAAGTCTAGAAATTTTAGTCCAAAAATTGACTCAAAATTAGATTCAGTTTATCCATGAGTTAATGTAAGTATCTTTAAGTTCTCTAAAAACAAAAGAATCACCCCCTTCTCTGATGACAGCAAGATCTTAGTCTGTCACAGGAGAACCTCAAAGAAACATTGACCCTCTCTATTCTCTCCTCCATGCCAGCACATCTGGCCTTTTGTATGTGGAAACCTGAAAATGACTGTGGTGTTTACTGTGGAAGCTGGCACCTGAGGAGACTCTACGTATTATTTTCCCCTCTCTACAGAGTAACTCTCAACTTAATTCACACATCATATCAAAATCCCTAACTTGGGACCCAAAATCTGCCTTGAACTTATACATGAAGTCAACTTATGCATGAATATATATGTAATGTACAATACACAACTGAAAACATTTATCTGTTATACAGAATATTTTTCTTGTTCTTGTGTGTCTGTGAATTGTTCCTGAATTGAATTGTGACCCCATCAAAGGGTTTTCTTACTGAAATGAAAACAGAGGAAGTTTGCCTTGGCCCTCCTGAGAGTATGACTTGCCTGAAATCACCCAGTGGGTTTCTGTGGCCATGCAGGTATTTGAACCCTGGTTTTCCAGTCTAATCACTATACTACATGGGCTATCAGTCTTACTAAATGTTACAGTAGATTAAATTGTGGTGTAATCTCATTCAAGTCTACCTAGAAATAATGACACATTGCCTTCAATTAGATTTATTTTCAGGAAAGTGTATATAAAACCCAGTAGTCAATTATGAATGGTTAAAATTTAAGAGGACCTTACATACACCTTGTTGGAATCAGTGAAAAAGATCATGTTTACTTGATGTTCTGAAGGCAATAGCTTCACAATTAAAGCTATTACCTTCAGAACAATTGATGCTGTGCAATTATTACTAGGAAGAGGAGGAACAGCAGTAGCAACAAATTTATATTTCTTCTTAAAGAAATAAAAACGGCCCCCATCCTCCTCTCCTTCAGAAAACTTCTGAAAACAACCTATGCACCTTAGCATACAGAGAGGAGGAGGACTAGCACTTATCACTTTATGGCTGCTGCGGCCTATTTTAAATTACAACTAAGGTCAGGCACTGTTTACATTTTAGTAACTTAATTATCTAGAATATATGTTTCTTGTGAAAATATGTTTTATTAGTGAAATTATGTTCTATTTTAGTATCTATATTTTTATTACTTAGTTTCAATTCTCTTTTGATAGTAAGTCTATTAATTACCTATTTTACATTTTTGATATTGTGTGATGCTAATTGTGGCACTGAATATTTGCCTTTTATATGCCTGTAAACTGCCCTGATCCCCTTGGGGAGAGAGGGTGGTCTAGAAATAAAATAGAAAAAAATCCTGCCTTTCCCCCAAAATTGGGGGAAGATGGCTTAGAAATTTCAAAAAATACAATATTGTTGAAACATCACAAAGGTCAACATTAAAATGGAATAAAATGGGTATAATCTTAAAACAATTTGGAATGTGCAATTACAAAAAAAAATAAACAGTACATTTTAAAAGAATATGGCAACTTATGTAACAGCACTTTCTTTTTGAAATATTCAGTTCTCAAAAACTTCTCAGATTTTTTTTAAAAAACAAACAACTTTGCTGGTAGATAGGACAGCATGTTAGCTCTCATGAAAAGGACTTCCAGGGCCTAGAAGTCTCCATTGAGAAGACATTGTCAGACTTTTGAAGTACAGAACATGTGAAAAACGTACCTAGAGAAAGCATCGAATCAGGTGGGGGAATAAAACAGAAAAAAATATCAAATGTAGTAGGCACTATTGGGAACCCTATGATACTTATAAGCCAATACAGGTATATTTTTTAAAATGAAAATTTGCATACTGAAGATACTTGCATTTTTAACCTGGCAAAGCCCCTGTGCTTGTGCCTCATATTAGGACTCTCATAGGAACCGATGAGTTGATATTACATGCTGTAAGAATTGCATTTTACCTCAAATTCAGCATGCCTGTGGATATCTTCAGCACGTTGTCTACTCAGGATAAATTCAGCTTCATTTGCAACTCTCACTAGATGATCCTTCATTGTTTGGCTCAGTAACCTGAAACAGAAATCAGGAGCAAATCAGAGATTACATAAATAAATGCTTCAGATTAATCACACAAATGAACTAGATCCAAAAAGGAAGTTAAGATATAAACACAGAGTTCCTTCACAAGGAAAGAATTCCCTGTACATTCCAAAGCATGGATTTGATTCATCCATGTTGACTTATAGGTGCAGAGTGGCTGCTTTCATTGAGGTGAATGGTCACCATAATACAAGTAAGAGATTTATTTTCAGAACGACACACATACAGGTCTTTGTTCCAGGTGTGATGTAGGTTTTAACTAATACAAGCTCTCTGCTAGGTCATTCATAACATAAAAACAGTAGAATTTGGAAACATTTTCTTCAAAATGAATACAACAGAGTCTCACTTATCCAACATAATTGGGCCAGCAGAAAATGTTGGCTAATAAGGAGGGATTTAGGAAAAGTCTATTAAACGTCAAATTACGTGATGGTTTTACAAATTAAGCACCAAAACATCATGTTTTACAACAAATCGACAGAAAAAGCAGTTCAATACACAGTAACGTTATGTAGTAATTATCGTATTTACGAATTTAGCACCCAAACATCACAATGTATTGAAACAGCTGTGGATCTGGGCAAGATGCAGACTGCATTGGATAATACAGAATGTTGGATAAGCAAAGGTTGGATAAGCGAGACACTACTATATATTAATTCATAAAATTTTCAACACCACCATTAAAATGTGTCATTATAATTGTAGGAGGGTAAAAAGTAATGGTTACCATATCACATGATTCATTACTTCAGGGAAGAATTCGGAAAGCTCTGCCATTTTGCCCATTTTAATCACGCATATTTCGCTCTAATTTATTAATTCAGTTATTAATGCATTATTTATGCATTTATTGAATTTATATCCTGTCTCTCACAACGGGATTCAGCAAATTAACAAATTACAATCATAATTCTCTCTTAGGGCCTTAAAGTGAATGAACTGATTTTCTTGATGATGTAACATTCATATCTAAATACTAATGTGGATGTTTCCAAGCTGTGATTCTAATGCAATGTTTTCTAAAACACAGTTCAGTACATATGCTCAGCTTAGGATAAAAAAGCATAAATAATGAAATTCAGCCTAAATTCAAATACAATTATTATCGGGTTGTTGTAGGTTTTTTTGGGCTATATGGCCATGTTCTAGAGGCAGTCTCTCCTGACGTTTCGCCTGCATCTATGGCAAGCATCCTCAGAGGTAGTGAGGTCTGTTGGAAACTAGGAAAATTGGTTTATATATCTTATTTATATAGCCTTCGACAATACAATTTATATAGCCTTCGACAATACAATACAAATAAAGTTATGGAATATATTGATCCTATATACTCCTTATAAATAATACAAAGAGTTGCTTTCCTGAATATATTTTATTGACAACTAGTACTGAATGTTTCATGTTCCAGTAGGTAATACCAGCTGACCTGTTTGCCTCTTGTTTTCATTGTAAACTACCCAAGAAATTAACCTCTTTCCCATACACAAATACCTCCCTTTCAGACTTCTAACATGCCCTCAAGAAATCTTGAAGTTTCAGTCTGAGCCATAAAGCACTTCACTGACATTGGTTTCAACAGAGTGAGCAGGACACAGAATTAGTTATAAACAAGAGCCTTATTCATCTGCAAACAACTCTGAGATTTTCTATTAAGTTTACAAACACACATGTTCCCAATTTGGGCAAAGATGTTTAAATGCCTGCAGAAATGATCAAACAGAACTCAAAGCAATAAAAGCCAAACTTTAAAAATTATACTTTTTTATGAACACTTTAACACAAAATGTAAAATCACTATGTGGTCTTCAAAACACCGACAGGATTCTTCTTTCAACCCTTTTCAGAAGAACTTGAGACATCATTTTTATTTACACCACTTTGCTTCCAGTTACGTCTTTCAATTTTATCCAGTATGTATTTAAGAAATGAGTTTAAAGAACCCAAAGTATTAGCATGAGCTTGTCGGTTTTAAAACATAAGTTGTAGATTACAATCAAAACAAAAAATATTTAGATTACAATGAACAATACAGTAGTCTTGCATATTTGATATCTGCTTTGCTAAGGAAATTTACATACTAGGTCAAGGTTATTTAAAGTGAGTGTCTAGCTGTGGAATGTTTTAATAGCAAGTGCAAAACTATTGTGTGTAGTGTTAATTTTTTTTGAAGGTTACGAGTAAAGTGTAGTTAATAAAATAATAATAAAACAAATAATAAACTATATTTATACCCCGCCACCACCTCCCTGAAGGGACTCAGGGCGGCTCACAAAAGCACTCCAGAGTACCACACATAAAATAATAACATTGTTTATTTTATGTTTTTCAATATGCAAACACATTCTCAATTTTACCTTAATTCTTCCTTCCTGATTTCTAAAAGCTACTTAAATACATTGTCTTTTAGTACACTACAGGCTAGAAGAAATATAATCAGTTTTCTATTTAAGATAAGGAGGTTGGGATATGGGGGGTGGGGGTGGGAAGAGAGGTAATACTGCTAATATGGATTGGGCATTGGACTATGACTCTTGAGACCAACTTTCAAAGTTCATGCTTAGCCATGGAAAAAGCACATAATTCTTCCCTTTGCCAAGATTTAAGTAAAGTTATCTAACATCAACTATCTAAGCAGAATAGCCTATAGCTAGGTCTATTTAATTACCTGAAACTCATTTTCTCAGCAGATTCTTAATGGTTTTATTGCATATATCACATATCATTGTAATAACATGTTGTTATTTCAATACTATCAATAATATATTATTGTTTTAGTACAGATAATGGAGCCCCCGGTGGCGCAGTGGGTTAAACCCCTGTGCCGGCAGGACTGAAGACCGACAGGTCAAAGGTTCGAATCCGGGGAGAGGCGGATGACCTCCCTCTATCAGCTCCAGCTCCTCATACGGGGACATGAGAGAAACCTCCCACAAGGATGATAAAAATATATAATCACTAGGTTCTTGTAGGTTTTTTCGGGCTATAGGGCCATGTTCTAGAGGCATTTCTCCTGACGTTTCGCCTGCATCTATGGCAAGCATCCTCAGAGGTAGTGAGTAGTTCACTACCTCTGAGGATGCTTGCCATAGATGCAGGCGAAACGTCAGGAGAAATGCCTCTAGAACATGGCCCTATAGCCTGAAAAAACCTACAAGAACCTAGTGATTCCAGCCATGAAAGCCTTCGACAATACAATATAATATCATCCGGGCGTCCCCTGGGCAACGTCCTTGCAGACGGCCAATTCTCTCACACCAGAAGCGACTTGCAGTTTCCCAAATCACTCCTGACATGACCAAAAAAAAGTACAGATAATCACTCTTATTTTCAAACTTATTTTCACCGGGAGCCATATGAGCCTTATGGTTGCTTTCAAAGGGTAGTTTGTAATTGTAAGTCTGTATAAATATACCTATGTTGCCCTGGCATTGAAAGTCTTATGGGCCCCATAAAATGAAATGGTGGGACGGAATCAGCCCGCAGCCCTTACATTTGATCCATGTCATTCAATCCCAACCTTAATAGTACAATAATGTTAAATGGTAGATGCTTTAAAGGAAATTCCTTACACAGTTCACACACTGTAAGTCTGAGTTATCAATCTATCAATAAGCATGCACGGCTTCTTAACAGAAAACAAGAGTTGTGGATATGGATCAACATTCTATAAAATCATCAATATACATTTTTTTCCAAAACAAAAACTAATTGTTCAAGTGCTCTTTCTTTTTTCAAAATAACTATGATGTAAACTTTTTAAAAAACAAAACCACACCAGACATTGGGGGAAAAGACCCAAAAAATGTCCTGCAGTACATACAGATTCATCTGTTTAATGTAGTACTAGCTGAATTAATTCAGTCGCTTGCGGGGAAATAAAGCGGAGTATAAATAAATAAATAAATAAATATTATTATTATTAACTATATCTTTCACAGATGTATTTATTATTTCAGTATTCAAAACATTAGTTACAGAAGGCAACGTATTGAGGAAATTGTGGCATGTGTACAATATTTATCTCCCAAATTCCCAAGCTGGCTCTCGGATCTCTGTCCTTGAAAGATGTTGGGGAAAATTAATTTTATGGCAAAAATCTTCATACCCCTGCCACACTTGCCCACTTCTAACATAAATTATTCAGACACAATAAAAACAAAGCAGGAGACGTAAGCAGTACTAATGATGTTCTGTCCCTATGATAACTGGATTTTCAAAAAATTGGCTTGTTGTGGAAACAAAGATTGGCGATAAAGCTTCAGGGGACATACCTTTTCCCCACGATAACTCTTTCAGGAGTTAATTTCCCTTCCAAGGGGTATATTTATTATCACTTCCTGTTGTCTCATTCCTGTTCTTAACAATGAATTATTTGTAAGTTGAATGTTTTAACTTGGGGACTGCGTGTAATCTGCTTTATTGTTGTTTTAGTCTGAATTTTGTGTATCACCCAGTGAGTAAATATGCCAAACAAACGTCTTAAAATATGTAACGTGCAACACTGATACTATGTAAAATTATACCTTCAAAATGCTTAAGATATTACTATGGAGATATATAAATTGTGTTACGGATGAAATACTTAAACTTTACTGTACATCAGTAAGAAATACTTTTATGAGATATTTGTCACACATGTAAATTGGTAAATATTTCCAATGGAGCATTACTTAGAAAGGTGGTATAAAATATTTTAAATAAGTAAAAATTATAATGATCTATTTATTTCACTAATAAATAGTACAAATAAATCTAAACCAACTTTAACTGGGAAACCAGAACTGCATCAAAATTTAACAATGTGAAATAGATGTCCTCTGTTACATTATCCCTGTACTCTCTGTAATATTACCTATTTCCACACATCCTAGTATCTTGCTATGCAATATAGTGATTCTTGTTGGGTTTTTTAATTCCCCCTCCACCCTCAACAAAAATTAAGGCTTTTGCTTTACCTCTTAGGAAACATTTGTAAAGCCAAGGGGGGTTAATGTCTTTGAAGCTCATGACTGTACAGAAAATGCCGGATAAAATGTAACTGGCTGTGTCTTCAATTTCACTATCTCCAGGGATTCATCTGAACCATAGTTCACCCACAGAAATTTGTACAGGGTACTTAATCTCAAACATTGGAAAGTAGAGGGGGAAAAAGATTCATAGTTCAGGGGTTTAGCTCTTAATTTAGAAAAAAAACTCGAAACACTATTTTTAGACATTATGAACTATAACTAAATGGCTCTAAGCAGTGCCCTTATATCTTAAACTATCTTTACATGAATGCAACTGTATAAAAATTGTGCTAGAAATAATGTATGAAGAGTTTACCAGATTTCACCTTATCGCAAAAAGTTATTTTAAGCCAGAGCAATTACTATTTTCTAAAAGTCAGTGGCTGTCAAAGCTCATAGTTGAATATGAAAATATTCAACTATACAATATGAAAATGACCTTTTGTCATTTTCATATTGTATGCCTATCAAACAGGCCATTGTATTAGGTGCACAATGTACACTATGTCCCCGCATGAGGAGCTGGAGTTGATAGAGCGAGCTCATCCACCTCTCCCCAGATTCGAACCTGAGACCTGTGGGTCTTCAGTCCTGCCGGCACAGGGGTTTAACCCACACCAGAAGCCACTTGCAGTTTTTCAAGTTGCTCCTGACACAACAAATATATATATATATATATATACACACACACACACACACACACATTAAAATGTTGTCTGGATTTTTGTAAAATGAAGGGGCAAAAATTCAAACCCATTTGTAGTTCTAATTTCATGGTCATTGTGAACAATTGTGCATCATGTTTAGGCCTGGAAGCAGATGATAGACATTACAGTAGTCTTCAAGGGAGCGAAGAAAAGGCAGTATCTGCTGGACTTAATGCCACCCCCATACTCCTTTTCTTTTATGCCATGTATTAATTAGATAGTTATCCAGAGGGCAGAAAACTATTCTATCACTTGGAAAGTGCCAGTGATTGAGCTATATAAATGATTTTTTTATTATTTACAATTTAATATATATATATATATATATATTGTGAAGGCTGATATGGCCCTCCATATCAATTGATTCTTTATTCATGGATTCAGCCATCTATAGTTAGAAAATATTCCCCAAAAAAGAAATTCCAAAAAGCAAGCCTAATTTTTATCATTTTACATAAGGGGAACAATTTTACTACATTGTTTTATACAACAGGACTTGAGCATCTATGGATTACAGTATCCATGAGAGATCCAGGAACCTAACTCCATCAGATACTAACAGCATGCTGTACTGTATAACTAAACTTTTCAACCTTCTACAACATGCAAAAACAACATATCAAGCACAAGCAACTAGCTCATATCTGCTTGGTAGTTGACAAAATCCCAGGTAAATAGAACAAACACACTTTAGAAAGTAGATATCAATTTATGCTGGTTTCCCAAAATTCATTACATCATTATGGCTACAAACATGAAACAACACTGGATCTGGGAAATTCAGGAACTGCAAGACTACCTAACCAAACTAATATGTTGAATCTTTCTATGAGAATGCAAACATTTGCTCATAAAACCTGAATAAATAACTTAAAAGTTCTTTAAAATTCAACCAACAAAGCAAATTAACATGGATTTACTCATTCTGAATCATAACCAGAATTGAAACTAGGATAAACTACTATAAAAGTTAAATAGGAGGAAGTTACCTTCCTTCATTGACAAGCTCAATGAAAGCTAGGCCTGCATTCTTCTGTATTGAGTTCTGCCATTCCTACAATACAAAAATGACAAAATTAAAGGAAAATTAGGTTATGAAAAAACACATTAAAGAAAACAAATGTACTCAAGTAACAAAAGTAATAAAATAATATAATCAAGTTGATGACAGATGTTGGAAGACACAATAAAATATTGCAAGATATTAGAGCTTTTGACTCAAGGCTCATGTACACTTGCACAAATAATAGGGAGTTGGATGTGCTAACTATATTCATTACTTTCAGTATATGTGATCAGCTGAAGATCATTCAGTGGGACCATGCAGACCATCAAAAGAATGACTGATTCTAAAATTTCAAGATAGTACTTTATTGTAACTGTTCTGACACCAGATAAATTATATAAAAGCCCTCACAATCAATTACATTTAAAAACAAATTGCCATATTTACTCAAATCTAACACTCATCTTTTTGTCTAAATTACATCACTAAAATGCAATTAGTGCACATTAGATTTGATAGTGTGTTGCAATTGCACAACTTAACCCGCCTGTGCTAGGAGCCCCCGGTGGCGCAGTGGGTTAAACCCCTGTGCCGGCAGGACTGAAGACCGACAGGTCATAGGTTCGAATCCGGGGAGAGGTGCATGAGCTCCCTCTATCAGCTCCAGCTCCTCATGCAGGGACATGAGAGAAGCCTCCCACAAGGATGATAAAAACATCAAATCATCCGGGCGTCCCCTGGGCAACGTCCTTACAGACGGCCAATTCTCTCACACCAGAAGCGACTTGCAGTTTCTCAAGTCGCTCCTGACACGACAAACAAACAAACAAACAAAATCCTGTCTGTGCTGTTAGGCATGGGATTCCAGCTGAAGACCGAGAAGGGACAGCCAGTGGTGGCCATGAAAAAGTTTGGTGGGCAGCTGATGGTATCTGCAAAAAGGTTGGTGGGAAGGCCAGACAGAAGGGACAATGCTTCCCACCACTCTTCATGGCCACTACCAAACTTCTAGCAAGCTTGACGGAGGGGTGCAGCTTCTCACCAAACATTTTGTGGCCCCCACTGTCTGGCATTACATTTGAAAGCAAACCATTTTTTGTAATGCACACCTTCAAAATTGAGATGCACATTACATTAGATGGCACATTACACTCAAACAAATACAGGTAGTATTATTTTTCCTTGATCCTAGTTGCTTAATTTCAAGTAGTTGCTTCTTTTTAAATCATGTACCACTCTTTACTCACACATTTCTTTTACACTAACATTTATATTTTAACTATAAAGTGCTAATGAAGCACCTATATTTTAATTATACAGTTGGTTGTCCATATACATGGTATCTGCATCTATGGATTCAACCATTCATGGTTTGAAAATATCTCCCCCCCCCCCCGAATTTTATCACCAAAAAATCAACTTTGATTTTATTTGTATACATAAGGGGCGCCTTCTATTCTATCATTGTTTATAATGGACTTTAATATCCATAGATTTTGGTCCTGGAACAAAACCCTAGCAGGTAACAAGGGCACACTATACTTGGGCTTGAAGCATAACATAAAATAACACAGAGAAATATTTTTAATATCTAATCTGTGAATAAGTCGGTTGTACTGTACTATAAAATGAAAGAGGGTCATTTTATGCATGCTAGAATGACTCATAACATAGCATAGCATAGAAATTCCTCAACCATTTTTATCTGGATAGCTAGAATTAGATGCAGAACCTAGAAGGTAATAGTAATATACTACTAAATCACAGAGTTAAATAGCAATCAGTTATAGTTATTAGCAGTATTTCATGTGAGGGGAATAAATAAATTTCTCTCAGTGACACAAGTGAAGGACACATATTTGTGACTGCAAACAATGGCTTTCATCTTGAATTATATTTACTAGACTGCTTCAAAACTTAATTATTGAAGACAGAAGTTGCCAAAAATAACAAGAAGGGGCATTTATCATCACTCCTTCCACATAACTCTGTGTATCATAGACAAATATCTAAGAAGGCATTAGTCTAAACAATTTTTATAAGCCACAAGCCAATGTTCCCCCAAGCATGTTTTAATAGTTGGGAGGGGCATATAACAGCCATTGTCTTTCATGTTTAATTCAATGTTTCAACACAGCACATATACCTTCCACTGCAATTACACTCACAGAGCTGGCTATGTCGTTATGTCAAGATCTTAGTTATTCTTCTCCCTTGGGTGCTGATGAAAAAGATGTTAAAAGCCTCAAAGTCAACCACTAATGTAGCTGAATAACTGCAGAATGCATTTCAGCACTTTCAAAAGGAAGGGCTGCAAGGGGAGATCGACCAAGTCAATAATTTCATACCTGCTGTAATTGACTGCCATTTCCTATGTCTATAAAATGTTTACAATTTAGAAATTCTCCTAATGTACACCGTCATTATGCATTGTGAAATCTATACCAAATCTATAACTCATACGTAATGATGAAAAAATTATAACAAACTAGTACAGTGGAAAGAGTCAGAAAGTGCTAAAAAAATCTTGATTGGGGACTGATGAGGGAAAATACGGGGATCTAGTCCAGAAAAAAATGGGAGTCAGTTCTGGGAAACTGGGGTTGAAAGAAGGCAGACACTTAAAAGACAAGGGCAAAAAGTCGTGTCTCTATTATTTATACCTGTCTAGTTCATCTAGAAAGTTCATACTTCATAACAAAAGCCAAGACTGTACACACCTATTATTTGATCCTTCAGAAGAAGGCAGTGAGATTGAAGTGAAACAGAATTGTATTATATTTATAGAGTGGGACAGGATCTTAGAGATAAAGTGGCTCAACTGCCTACTCAGTGGAATACACCCGCAGCATCCCAATAAATGGCTATCCTTGTATCTTCTCCAGTAAATGAGAAGCACCACTCATCCATCTTCTGAGGCAATATGCTTTACTACTTTGACATTAACATATCTGAATGTTCAGCCAGTCTGCTCCCTTGCAATCTCAACCATTACATCGAATTCACTGCTCTGAGCCCATCAGCATATGTGATCACCTTTCAAATATCTTCAAACACCTAATGTGCATTCTCCTAATGTCTTTTCCAAGCAAGTATTTATCATGCTAGATTCCAGCCTCAACAACTCTGATATTGTTTACAAGTTTTATTATTATTATTATTATTATTAATAATAATAACAACAATAACAATAACTTATTCTTATATCCCATCACCATCTCTCCAAAGGGACTTGGGGCAGCTTACATGGGGACCAAGCCCAACAAAAACAGAAATAGAATATAGCACAAATTAAAAACATTGCATTTTAATTATTAAAATGATAAAACCAGACAACAAACATCATCAAAACATAGGAACAACACAACCATCAGCCAGTAGCCAAGAACAGTTGGTGTGTTCAGATCTAGGAGGGCGGGGCAAGGGCTAGTGTAATACAGCTGTAAGGGTGGGGTGGGTAATAAAATTCTACATGGCCAGACAATGAGCAGGGTTAGGGGGGCCTAGTCAATAGATGAACCAATTAATCAATTGAAACATCCAAGTTTTCAGGTCTTTATGGAAGGTGGACAGGGTGGGTACTAATCTAATCTCTCTAGGGAGAGTGTTCCAGAACTGGGGGGCACCACTGAGAAGGGCCTCTTCCTCATCTCCACCAACCATGCTTATGATGGAGGCGGGAGCAAGAGAATGGCCTCTCCAGCCAATCTTAAAGCCCGCGCAGGTTCATAGGGGAAGATGAAATCACGAAGATAGGCATGACCCAAACCATTGAGGGCTTTGTAGGTAATAACCTGTACCTTGAATTGGGACTGGAAATTTATCGGCAGTGGAGCTGTTTAATAGGGGGGGGGGGTTGTCTGCTCCCTATAATTAACTCCAGTTATCAACCTGGCCGCTGACCTTTGTACCAACTGCAATTTCTGGGCCGTCTTCAAAGGCCGCCCCACGTAGAATGCGTTACAGTAATCTAATCTGGAGGTAGCTAAGGTGAGGACCACCATGGCCAAGTCAGACTTTTCGAGGTACTGTCACAGCTGGCACACAAGCTTTAGCTGAGCAATGGCCCTCCCGGTCACCACCGACACCTAAGTATCAAGTGTTAGTACTGCATTCAGGAGGACCCCCATACTGCGGGCCTGTGTCCTCAGGGGGAGTGTAACCCTGCTGAGGATTAAGACACAGATTCTGAGTCAATCCATATTACAAGTTCAAGTTAGAAATAATTCAAAATAAATCAAATCATAATTCAATAGGTAGATATTGTGCCATTCAAATAGAGTCATTATCCTTAACACTAAAATCTAGACACATTGAACGAAACAAAGGCAACACATCTGTAGTTAGAGACTTTAGCTTCATTTTAACACCCTCCTTTAGAAACAAAAGGTCAAAAGCAACCCCCCACATCAATATGGATAGCAGTAACAGCATCTCTGTACAGTTCCAACATCAAACTTTTCCTTCATTTTTCTTTGACTACAACATGTATACTGAACATATTCTGGGAGTAACAGAAAAGTTACCAAGCGCTTCCTACATAGGAGGAAAATTATTCTTGGATGATGATCCAAGAATTGAAGCTATACGTGGAATTGCAGCTATATGTGGAGGAGCAATATATGTAATCTTTTGTGTTCTGAATTACAAATAAGAATAACTTTACACAAAGACCTTCCAAGACTGTTTATATGCGTAGGAAAACCACTTTTAAAGCAAACACAAAATGAATCTAACAATCTATGTGCTTGTCTGAAGAAACATGGCTTAGCCAGGAAAAATTCTCTCCCCAATCAATACAAAGGATTTGATTTCAAAAAAGAGGTGATAAAATTTGCCCGTAGTTTACTCAACTACAAATTCTCAACAGATGATCATCATTAAGCTTCTATCAAGCTCCTATGTATTGAATTGTACAAATGTGTTCTATTAGTACACGGTCTGACTGTTTGGCAACTTCAGTCCTCAAGACAAATGGCAGTTGCTGCCCTCTGAGGTCTGAAGTCAAGTCTTCAGGGAATCTCAAAGCCCAAATGGAAAAAAAAGAG